AAAAAAATAACTAAACTTAACTGAATTTTTCAGAATTTATACTGTCTCACTTGACAAATGACACAGAATTTCTTTTACAAATTTAAATTATGCAACATAATTGTACAAAGAAGGAATAATCTTATTTAACTCACCGATAGACGAACTCTTTTGCATCGATTAACAATTAGACGAACTATTTTTCTTATAACTTCTTGGAATTTAAAACAGGATATGTATAAATTTAAAAAGCTAAAATAGTTTATTGGTTCATAATTAAAAAATGGCTTTAGTAACGCGACATGTGATAGTAGAACAGCTTAATATTTTATATAGATATACAAAAATAATGAACTTAGAAAAAATCTCACAGAGAAAATTTCACACTAGACGAACTATTTTGCATCGGGGCATAGAATCTGCTGTGCGTTATACTAGATAACGCAATTTCATTTTAAACTACAGGCAGATCAAGCTCTATACCAGAGTGTGACTTAAGTGTGAATTCGAATTCCATTATTAATCGGAACTAGAATTGCCAATATGCAATAGGAGTAGTTTAACATCAGGATCGGTTGTCAAAACAGTGCCACGTTTCGTACAAGCTTCCATTTTACTCTTGCATATGTACATCTTTCGGGCAACATGTTCAGCCATTATAGCCATTTTAAGTTGTATGCTTTTCACGATATCTGATTCACCATAATTATATCTAGTCTCAAAGGGGCTCATTCCCAATGAACAGTTTGGCTTCAGGCCAGCCCACTTGTGCGTCCATCAAGTCCATAAGACCACGGAGCACATCCTTTCCGGGATGAACAGCTCCCTGAAACCGAGAGCCACGGGTGCGCTTTCGACATAGCGAAGGCTTTCGACAAGGTGTGGCACAACGGCTTGGTTTACAAGTTCTACCATCTTCAAGTGCCACTAAGACTCGTGCGTATCGTACACGATTTCTTGTCCGACCGCTCTATGCGTTATCTTTTAGAAGGAGCGTTATCGTCCCCTCGACCCATCAGGGCCGGAGTCCCTCAAGGCTCGGTCCTCTCGCCCCTTCTTTTCACGCTGTTTACCGGCGACATCCCTAGGGCGCCCAATGTGGAGCTAGCCCTCTATGCCGATGACACCGCTCTCTATACCACTCACAAAGACAGAGGTGTCATCGTGGACAGACTCCAGACCGCTACTACGTCGCTAGGCAAATGGTTTCGGAAATGGGGCTTCCAAATAAATCCCGAGAAAAGCGTCACAGTTCTCTTTGCCAGGGGCAACCGCGGTGCTCTCGCTCATTCTCAGGAAAAATTCCGTCTCAAAAAAGAGGTAACCCTATACGGGCAAGCCATCCCTTGGCAAAAGTCCGCCAAATATCTAGGAGTGACGCTCGATAGCGGCATGTCTTTTCGTAAGCATATAGCCGCCGTTCGCAAGAAGGCCTCTTTTGTCTTCTCTCGCCTCCATTTTCCATGTCCTAAATAAAAGGAGTCACATGTCCCTTAGACACAAGGTGACACTATACAAGGCCTGCATGACATACGCTAGCGTAGTCATTGCGCATTGTGCCCCTTCCCATATCCACCGGCTACAGGTGCTTCAGTCGCAATTCATGAGAATCGCGACCGGTGCGCCCTTCTACGTGAGAAACGTCGATCTCCACCACGACCTGGAGCTCCTTACCATAGCCCAACGGATGAAGTTGGCGTCCACACGCCACTTCGACAAGGCTAAACATCATCCCAACCCGTTGGTGCGTAAAAACATCAATTACTACCCCTTCCCGACAAAAAAGGCTCGTAGGAGGCCCCGCAACTTTGAACGGATCCGGACGATCCAATAACAATAGCTAATGATAAATTAAAAGCCGCCCGCGCGGCACAATAATAAAAATCAAAATCAGATTAGGGTAAAAAACCGCCTTCACCGAGGAAGGCGAGGACCTTTACTTCGTGCTTTGCTCACTCCAGTGAGCTTCCATCCTGCCCTTCAGGCGATTGACCACCCCGCGACGGCCCAAGCCGCAAGAAAGAGGTCCGACTCTCACAGGAGACGCCCTTGCGCTAGCCGCGGGAAAACGCCCATTCAGGCTCGCCAAAACAGCCTGAGCTGAGCTGTAAAGGCCCTTAAGGCCAACAGCGAGATTCCTTTAAAAAAATATATATATCTAGTCTAAGCGTAGTTTAAAATACGACCAAAATATATTAAAAAAATACATTTATCTAATAAAATTTAAATAATCTGTAACATAACTCTTAATAAAAAAACATGAATTCTCATGTACTATACATCAAAGCTTGTGGACGATAATCACACGGTAAAACTGTATTTATTTATTAACACTTAGTTACCTTATACAAAAACATACATATAAAAAAAACAGGTTACTTAAGTTATTAGGCAGCCTTATCGCGCACAAGCGATTGCTTCCAGGCAACCCTAGTAAGGAAAAATAAAAAAATAAACACCTACAGAGGGTAAAGTACAAGAAGTGCATAAATAATTAACGAAAAAGAACATAAAATAAAAAATACATAAATATAATATTTAAAATCTAAAAGTTAAAAACGAAAATGTAATACTTTAGATGTTGGAGTTAACAATGCAAGGTATCTGATATAGCCTACAATGACAGGAAATAATTACGAGTATTAAAAGAACTTCTAAAAGAAATTTTTAAATAAATTTCAAGACACTCGACTGAAATCAAAAGGTGTAGTTTGTTGCTATAAATACAAAAAATCAAAAATTTTATTTTAAAACTTCATTTAAAATTAACTTGATAACTTGCATATATACTTTATATATAGATTTTTCAATGCATGTGTATTTGACTGATAGCCTCACAAACGACTGGACGAATATTACGAAATTTTTGTGTGACTTTAAAAGATTGGGAATAGAATAGATTTACAAATTGAAAATGCCCGTCAGTTGGCACTTCAGTCGGTACTTTCATACTCTAGCTTAACTATCCTAATTAACTTTAAATGATCACTTAAGGTCAACGTCTGTGGGGTCCACTAGTATGTATATATAAATTTATTTTGTTACCTAAAACGTTTACAATCGCTTTACTCTATCATAAAACATTTATTTCATCACATTAGTGCACTAATAACAAGTTGGAGACATACATACATAATTATATTATATAATTATATACTTAACAACAAGTATACACTCACTCACACACACACACACACAGCACACACACACATGCGCACATACACACATAGCCACGCATGCATAGAATAAGTTCATAGAATCGTCAGAGAAACTATGAGAATTACATTTCATTTTATTCTTAGCTTCTTCTTAGCTGGGTTTTGTTTTGTTTTGTATTCTTTTCTAACAACTGTTATTCAATATTATATATACTCGAGCCAACCCCAACACAAGTGTCTCTGACTACTTACGGGGGCTGTCTCAACTCATGTATTTAATGTAAAATTTGAGATTTGAGACATGAAACATTTTTATCATTTTCATTTTCACTAATGAATGTCAATATTAAAATTGTAAGATCTACACTTACACCAGTTCCAAATTCAAGGGCGAGAAGAACTAACAAGATATTGTCCGTCACTCTTTTTGATCGACAAGTGTTAGTGTACAGACCCACCAACTTATCTGTGAAATGGAAAAAATGGGAACTACGGCCGCCATGTTGAATTTCGGCAGCTATAGGTTAGTGTTGTCTACTTTCTTTTTATAAATTACCGATATTTTTTTCATTGATTACTTTTTAACGTAATTGTAACATAAACAATATAAAGCCGAGTGATTCAACTACCTATAGTTCTCGTCACGTAAAAATAACGCTGGAATAATCTGAGCTAATGTATGTATCGACTTACATTAATTTTCTTATTTTTGAAGACTATTTAGTACTTATATTACCATTTTATTACTATAAAACAATGTTAGGTATTGTTTAAAATAATAAAATTATGTTTATATGTTTGCCTAGTTTCTTATCTGACATACCCAATCATGGGTAACTTTTATTAATTTGCAACACTAAAGCGACGGTGGCGCTACCACTCAGTTCACAGATAAGTTGGTGGGACTATACAAGGATATTGTAAGGAACATCAACCATTACGCCATATTTGACATATTGAAACAAAATGCCATATTTATAAAGTAATAGAAGTATCAGCGGGCAAAATAGAAGCGCTCTATGTCGTCGATGTAATCAAAATGATCGTGAATTGCTAGCCTTATAGAGGCTAGGCCGTATCAGAAATACTTCAAAAGCAGGTTACACAGAATGCGTGGTAAAAAGTACCGTAAAAAAGTAATATACCAGTTGCACTACAACCCTATATAGGCCTCCGATTGCAAGTGTCGGTTCGCTTTATAGACATGTTGGTGATTAACTATGACACGTTGTTCCCCACGATGTTTAAAGAAAATCATAAAGTAACGGGTCGTCACCGACTGAAACCGCTCTATATTGAATTCAGTCAAGAGAATGGAACACAATTGACATAAATAATAATAATATAACATACGTAATGAAAATCATAATTATTTAAATAGTAAGTAAGTTTTAGACATTAAAAAAATGGCAAATAATAGAAAAATCACGATTGTTTTTCACGCCAATGTACGAGTATGTCCTTATAAAATAAATGAAAAATCTAAACTCAAATTTTAATGTTGATGATATTTAGTATGGAAATAAATTAGGTTATTATATTAAATGTACTTAATTAACTTAAAATGAATATCGCTTTTATAATCTATTGATAGAATTAGATCTCAATCATTATAATGAAACAAATTTTCTGTTAAAGAAATAGCTATTTTCATTTATATTCAATATGTATCGAGAAAACGTCGCTGGACTCGAAATAAAAGAAATAAGAAAGACTTATAAAAATAGGAAAGAATAGATTGAGAAATAATTATATAGAATCGACATTTAGTTTTCTTAAATATTCTTTACATTCAACCAAATTTCGTGAGTATTCTAATTTAGGCTTCACGCTCTTGGCAACACGAACGAGTGTTCATTAAGCTCACTTCACACCAGTGAAGTTTACAGGGGTATATGGGACTCGACACACTCCATATGAGAGACATCGGCTGCAAATGAGGGAACCAGGTGAGCAATATCCAATAAAATTAATCTCAGGTTCTGACACAGCCGCAGTATGATGGTTCTCAGGGTCATTTTCGCATTCTACCGGGGACTTAAGCTCAGACAGGATATCAAATATTAGTAATACTAAATGATTAGGTAGGGGATGGGCGTCTCCTATTTTCTCCTCTAACTCTAACTTAACATAAAAATCTGCCGGTCTGTTATTAATTGAGTCATAAATTATTTTAGTTTTAAAAATCTTATGTTTATTACAAGATATCGAAAATTCGAGTCTTATAGTATGTATCAAACACTTGATGCTAATTGAAACCTTTTAAAAAATCCTTGACATTTTCGCTTCGAATAAAAGCTTTAAACGATTGAAAGTCAATGACACTAGAACTGAGAAAATCAAAGAAAACTTGAAAAAATAAAGCCATTGAATGGGCGCGGTTACTGACAAAAGGTTATTTTAATCGCCCCCCCCCACCCCCCCCCCCCCCCCCCCCCCCCCCCCCCCCCCCCCCCCCCCCCCCCCCCCCCCCCCCCCCCCCCCCCCCCCCCCCCCCCCCCCAAATGCCATACAGATATTGCATAGGGCAATCGCACTGACTTTAGTTGTCAATTAATTAAAACTTCAGATTCGCTATCGTAATAAATATGTCGCTCGTGAATATTTTCATTATATTGTGCTTATCTTAGCGATGTGCCGAGTTGACTTTTTGGTAACTCGAGTTGAAACGGATACTAACTCGAGTCGTTGACTCGAGTCGGTTTGCCTTATGATCCGTCGCGTCGCCATGTCGTCCGTCCGAGTCAATATATGCTCAACATGGCTTATCGTTCCTTGGGTTGCTAGTTTGCTACGTTCACGGTTCGTCGGGTCAGGTCCGGCGGGCTGCGTGGCGTCTAGTCTTTGAGGCAATGGTAGTCAAATAAAATTGAGCCCATTAAAAATCAGACGTTTATTTATATTAAAAGTGTTTACAAACGTCACATCACAAAACGAACTTACTTATATAACGCAAAATAAAATTATGGTGACATTTTTACCTTGTAAATAATAAGAATTTAAAATAAATCTAATGGCAATTTATTCCTTAAATTAAAAACAGCACCGTTTGGTATTTTGTCATCTATCTATCAACTAATACTTATTAAAAAAAATTATCAGCATCTCGTTGGGCTGATTCCGGTTGTTCGGGCCTCGCGAGTCGTGAGCTAGCCGAGGGGCGACAGCCCACCGCACCGCCCGCAGCCACGACTCGCGTGCCCCGAAGCCCACAACTGAACGCAAGCCGCGCGCACTCTCCGTCTACTCGGTTTGCAGATATTTTAGCTCGGGCTAACTCGCCTATGGTCTGACCCGAGTTACTCGAGTTGCCCATCGCTAGCTTATCTTCTCGCAAAATGTTTTTCTCTAAAGCCAATAAACTGTTGATTTCCTCATTTAAATAAACACACGCTGAACTTTTATTAGAACTTGCAACCCGCACGTGTACATAAATACAATTCTGATTTACATTTTTTACATTCATTACACTCTCAATTGCTTCCGATGTTTTGAAGTAAGTCATGATTATAAATTATCATCACAATATTAACTACTTATTTTTTGGGTAAACATTTATAATATGAAGTTTGTATATCTTTTATTGATTATGCAATAAATGGATATTGACCTCAAGGTAAATAATATAAATAATAAAGTAATGCACTGTTAACAACTGATAAGACCTCAGTATTGTCATACTATATAGGTCAAATTGATCAATTGTATAAATGACAATAAACAAATTGAATATCGCTGCTGTGTCTGTAGCTATCTCGCAACGCATTTTAAGCGCAGCGCCTGTACTCTGAACCTTCCAAGCGCTAGCAAACGCGACATTTCTGTATGCAATTTCCATGCATTTCTCTTGATATCCGAAACGAAAACTCAATATTGATGTCGAGATAGCTCCGGCTATTCTAACAATAGGTACGCTCTTTTCTTGAAATTGAATTCGACTCATTTTGAATTGCTTCGAAATACTTCAGTGGGCTGCTGGTGGTCGCGTAGTTCCACTTATTGGTGGTGCGCGGCAAAAGCTGCCTTAAAAACGCTCAGTTGGGAAACTTCGAGGGGTTACGGGTGGAATTTCGTATTCTGCCTCGATGTCCGGTGATGAAACTCAGCTGCAGGTATTAATCCGAACAACTCCTCTGAACACACTCCACGGTAAATGCGATAGAAGATGCAGAGTGACCCCACATCTGAAGAAGAAGAAGAAGATACGCAACGCCAAGAGATCAAGCTGCTCGGAGAGAGATTGGTCGTCGACGATTCGAACCGTTTTTCGTTGAATACGGGCAAGCGGAAGGATCATCATATTTAATATTTTTTATTACGATTAATTAAATTCAACGAGCGATCACTATTAAACGAAATCCAAATCGTGTAACCTCAGGGAATTTAATATGATTTAAATTTAATATAGTTTAAATTCTCCTGTTGATCTACGTTTAGTGAGGTGAATAATTGCAATTCTTGTGCGTCTACGATGGAAATTACGAACGGTCTTAGCATTATGAAGGCATTCTTTCCATACCGCATTAAACGTTGGAAGGTATTTTAGACATTTCCTTAATAGTACTTACCACTGAATATGTTTTAGTTGAAAAAATTAACGGAGACTGCAGATTATCTATACTAATATTATACAGAGGAAAGATTAGATTTTTTTTTTGAAAAGAATAGGCTCCGAAACTACTGGACCGATTTCAAAAATTCTTTCGCCGTTGGCAAGCTACCCTATTGCCGAGTGACATAGGCTATGTTTCATTTTCAAAAAATTAGGGATGAAAACTAAAACTTGAATAATCTATCAAGGTGTATTAATTATAGAACAAAATGATGTATGACAATTTTTTAGGACACATCAGTATCTTTAAAAAATGTCGCGATAGCATGTCTCTATCTTTTATAGTTACGTCACAATAAGCGACCTTTTATTAAAAAATTTTTATTAAAATACCACCGCTAGAAAAGGCTCTTTATTCGTACCAACGTTTCACATAAGCTACAATTTAATGGCATAACCACCAAAAACGCATGGTGTTCTCCTGCCGTTTCTCTTAAATAGTTTACTACTATGAAATATACCAAAAATCTTAGCCACAGCAACGCTTGGCCGAGTCTACTAGTATTATATATGACTATTTAGGGAAAAGGGATACTCTTCTTTAATAAAATCCCAGAGGCTCTTTTATCTCTGCCTTTTAATAAATTTAAGAAATGTATATAATAAATGCTTACTATAAAGTACTAGTTAAAAAAAGGGCCTGGGACTAGTGCTAGACAGGCTACTTCTACTTTAATTTGCGATATTTGTTTTAAAATAAGTGTTGTTTGATGATTTGCTATTTAAAAGAGTACCGAGAGTTTTTTACGCCGGCTTTTTCTCTCGGCCTACACCCTCTGCGATGCCGATGAGTAGGGATGCCTATAGATTCAAATTTAATGACGTGGAATAAGTGATACCTGTATCTTATGTTCCATAATAAACATATTTTATTTATTTCATTTTATTTAGTTGTTTTGTTATAGATTTTTTTTAAATAGTTTTATATGTATTAGGGACAATTGTTTTTCTTTTAACCTTATTTGGCTTCATTGCTTTTATTTTTATGTTTTAATTTTGGTTAGAGATCGTGATTGGACAGTTTGTATAATTTCAAATTGTGTTCTTGTACCTTAACAAAAAAATACAGAACTTGTAACTCACAAAGTTTAGCGCAAATATAAATGATTTTGTATCACCAAAACCTCAAATTTGATTTTATAAATTTAACAAAGTATGATGTATATATGTATAATATTTGGCATTTAATAAATACAATCTTTAAATTACATTCCTAGCTATAAAAATGTTAATTACACTAGGCGGGCTAAGTGGGCACTCAAAAATTATCTTGACACAACAGTTAAGATGATATGATGGAAACTTGTTCAGCAAAAACTTGAATTAAATTATTTAAAAACGCATTTATAATCCTCATATATATCAAATGCTTTTATTTCTAGAGCTTTAAAATAATTTTATATAAAGATCGTTTCAATTATAATCTCAAATGTTATGTAACAGCGGAAAAACTCAGGCCTTCCAATTGTATCCAAACTGTTCGCAGCTCATCGAATACAATTATGTTATACAGTTCATAAATAAAAAATCAATGGCGCTACAACCCTTAAGGTCTGAGCCTCTGTATTTGTATTGTGATTTATTTTATCTAATAGGCAACTAGGTAGTAGTCTGTGAGACACTCCGCCGACTTTTTGTATCTAAGACATGCTGGTTTATTCACGATGCTTTTCTTCACCGTAAGAGCGACTGTTAAATACGCACATAGATTACATACTATTATGGGTAGTAGTCGCACCCGGAATTCACTAGGTTAACATTGTTCATACTGTACTGTACTAAAATGAAAATGCTTGAACGCGAAACATTATTAGCATAACTCGAGATTTTGTGCCCGTTAACTCTCTATTATATTTTTTCGACACTGGTTTGTGTAAATTTGTAACTTAAAGCGTATGTTTTTAAAACTTACTTGTATATATATATTTGTATGTCCAAATTAAACACCTTTAAGCAATTTATGTGGGACATTCTAATTAGCAAATTCCTAGTCTTACAATTTTATACACATATATATACATTTTCTTAGTTGGCAATTGACAGTACGTGTTTTCTGTTCATATTTGATTTCGATCCCCAGAGAAACAATAATTCTTTCTTTTGTTTCCGAGTGTTTTGTTGCCTCTTACATCCTGTTATAAAAGCCTGTACTAAGATTCCAACCACTATTATAGTACCTAATAAACAGATATACTCCATTATTTTACGACGGTTCGAACAATTATTGGTATAAGTCAAATCGAAGATATCAGATATTAGAGGAAAATTTGACCTAAGGTTTCAGTATAATAATTCATCCAATTATTTCGGACACGAAATCTATAGAGCTGGTTAAGACAAGTTAGTAACAATTTTAATTAAGAATTATGTATCTAAATAGATAAGTATACCATTAAAGCTTGAAATCGTTTTAATAAATGTGAACCTATGTACTTTCACATTATTGTTTAAATTCCCTGGTATTTTTTTGTATTGTAAGTGTGAAACATGAATTAATACTGACATTTACAAGTAACTTTTTTTATTATACTTATATAGAAAAGGAAAAAAATATTAGTAAGAAAGTTTAAAAAAATGGCTTTCAAAGAATATTAATCCAAAATTAATGCTAATATATTATACAAATATTATTTATACCTTAAGTAAGAATGTTTTTCTATCGTATTCATAAGTTTTTTCTTATAATCTGTAACTATCCATAATTATTATAATATATAAAATTTTAATTAGAGCAAAAAAATATTACCATTCCACAACAACATATTGCTATTTAATTGAAAAATATGGTGTAACATCGAATAGCAACACGTGAGTGGATAGATTTATCTCTTAGCGATTGTTCAAAGTAGTCTCAGAGTCAATTTAAAAGTTGAGTAGTAATTTACAGACTTACTTTAAATATTAACGTAGGAACAATTTTTTTAGCTAGGGTATCCATTACGAGGTATCCTTGCTGTTTGTTAGCAGGCGACTTTAAGAGTCAAATCTAATTTAATGTATTAGTTATATATATTTACTTATTGAATCCATTAAAAACCTTTAACTACTGGATTTTATAAAAGCGACTGTTTTTGTAAACTGAAAGAGTTTTGAGGGCTTATTGAGCCCTTTACATTCACAATCAGGTCATAAGATTTATACTTGGATGTTCAAGAAAGATCTTGAATACTTTTAAGAAAATTTAATTTTTTTTCGTTGAATGTTTTTGTAAAAATATCAATGGTAATCGAAAAACAAATTAAATGTAAATAATTTTTTGCTGTAGCAACATTAATAAAATATGATAATTTTCAATTATAAAATACAGCGATTGAAGTGTTACTACCTTACATTACCGGCTATTTATACAAATCGTCAGAACGTCGAGTTGACTTTACATTCAGTCTGCGCAAGCGCAGCCCGTGCGCACAATCGTACTTCAATTACTCGAACTAAAGTGTATTGTTTAATACGGGAATTATAGTGATAATGTGATTATTGGATACAAGTAAAATATATAAGACAAAGAAATTATACGTAAGTAAATATTTTAATATATTTTTAACAATTTTCTAATAGTTGACAAAAATATTTGTATAAATTTTACTTTAATCAAAATTAGTTCAGTTGATTTATGTAAAAAGTTAACCTAAAATAACAAAAAATTTGACTGATAACAACGGCGAAGGAGATTATAATTTTATCATAATCTAATTTTCGAAACTTACGTATTTATTTTATTATTATTATTTTTCGTATATTCTTCTACAGATCTAAATGTGGAAAGTAGTTTATTATAGTATGTTTTTCATATATTCGCTATGCTTTTAAAGCATTAAGTATGAAATATTTGAGTGTATATATGAATATGTGAGTTTCGGATAGAAAATATACATTAAAGATAAATCATACAA